TGTGAACGACTACTAAAACGAACTTAACATGTGGCAGCACTACATTTTGTCAAGCTGTCAGAACTGCAGCTAACACCGATCATTTTCACTCGTCGTTTATCATCGCTAGAAGAAGGAGCAGAAGGAGACACAAGTTTTAGTTTTTTCTCATAGTTTCATAGTTTTATAGTTTTCCTCAAAGTCGAATTTGCTTATTAATTGTCGTGTATTTGTCAAAGTATTTACGTTGTCAATTTCGTACTCATGTTTAAACGTTTTAAATAAACGACCATTTTGCTACAAGCGCGAGTCTTAACAAAGTCTAAAACTTGTCTCCGATTCTGCAAATTATAAGGAATTTGCCGATTTGCTGCCGCAGACTTGTGCTCAGTAGCAGCCATTTTGTGTAGCCAGAGCTCGGCTATTTCAAAAGCGCATAAGTTCACGTTGAATCGTGAAAATTCGCAACGAACCGTCACCAGCGTCTAGATTCCAATTGGAACCCTGAAAATCATCACCGCATTATTGGAAGGAGCCATTGCCGTGCTCTTCCACGTAGCCTGCCAGCGTTGGAGCCTAGAGCAACGCGTTGAAGTAGCTGCCGTACAAGTTGTACAATTCGTTTTGCGTGAAATTACTGCCATATTTTCCCGCCACATACTTGTACAACTATAGACATTTGCTACTATTTCAGTCGAGTTTCCCGCCAATTCTGTCGAGTTTCCCGCCAATTCTGTCGAGTTTCCAGCCACTTCTGTCGATTTTCCCGCCACTTCAGTAGAGTTTCCCGCCACTTCAGTCGAGTTTCCCGCCACATTTTGGCAAGTAGCCGATGCACGACGGGTTGCTGACACGGGCTCCCAATAGTTATTGGCTCGCAAATATACGTGGCCCAATTGTGCTAACATTTGGTGCATGCGGCACTAATGAAAACCAGAAGCAAGATGAGTCAGCAACGTCAAGCAGAATCAGATGGGGAAACGGAGCTCAACGACACTGTTGTCGAGACAGGGTGCACGACTGCACCACAACCAACAAGCGAGCCACGAGACAATTTTTCGATACTACTGTCCTCAATCACAGCGCTACGCGAGTCAATTCAGGAACCTCGTAACGACACAAACACGCAGCGAGCTGATATTCAGCAGCTTCGCGAGCGCATAGAATACGATCAGGCGGAAATTAGGCAACGGCCTCCGATATTACATCAGTCGGGTAGCAGGCAAGAAATCACCGTTCCCGCACATGAGCAGCTGTCATCTTCGCCAACGACGACGCCCCAGCCACAGCCACCAATGACTTTAATACAGTCTAACCATACGCCAGCCTTTGTTGACAGCGCCGCTGCAAGATTATATCCGTTACCAGTTTTCGAAGGAAGCCCGGCAGACTGGCCGCTATTTATTGCGTGTTATCGCGATACAACAGCGGAGTTAAATTACAATAATAGACAAAACCTGATGCGTCTTCAAAAGGCATTGAGGGGTGAGGCAAGGCAAACAGTCACATCGCTCCTGATTTACCCCGACAACGTTCCGAGTGTACTAAGCGAGCTGGAATTAAATTTTGGCCGTCCCGATCTGCTCACACGCTCTCAACTACAAAGAGTACAACGGTTCCCGCATATTACTGAGAGTCACCTCGACCAAATATTGGAGTTTGCATCGAAGGTACGTAACATTGTGGCATTCTTTAAGTCTGCGAAGTGTGAGCATCACTTAATAAATCCAACTCTGCTGGATGTACTGGTAACGAAATTACCCCCCTCAAAGCAGTATGAGTGGAGTAAGCGTGCCGCTGAAATCCCTTCGTTTCCAACGGTCGAGTGTTTCGCTAAATGGTTAAGCGAAACCGCCAGGGTAGTTTCGCTAATGCCAAGAATTACTGAGAGGTTTGTACCTGCACAGCATATCCGACATGTCGTTCAACCAGCTTCAAATAACCGGCAGACAGCGCTAGCAGGAGGTGGTAGCCGACGAGTGCTTCACAGCAACGAGGCACAACGCGACCAACGGCAGCCAGCACGATGTGTCCAGTGCAGCCAAGGGCACACACTGACGGCATGCCAAGCCTTTAACTCGTATAGCATCAACGATAGATGGGCTCTCGTCAAACGCCATCAGCTCTGCTTCGGGTATCTTGCCAGTGGACACAACCTATCGACCTGCCAACGGAAGACGTCGTGTGGTATAAACGGTTGCCAGCGAAAGCACCACCGACTATTGCACTCATCGACAGGGTCACCAGCCAATCAAGTCGAACATGTTTTTAATTGCCGTCTAGAAAGCCAGACAACCTTGTTTAAGGTATTGCCAGTGACGTTGTTTGGGCCTCGGGGTAAGGTAGAGATCTACGCAATGTTTGATGAAGGTTATTCCATATCATTGCTAAACGAGAGTGTCGCCACCAGCTTAGGCCTGCAAGGGCTGACCTCACTACTATCTCTACAATGGTATGGAAAAAACAAGAGCTCAGAAAAATCGCGAAGAGTAACAGTAGAACTACAAGGGCAAGCCACGAACCGTACATTCGCCATAATAAACGTACGAACCATACGAAATTTAGATTTACCCATACAATCTTTCGATCGAAGCAAGTTTAGGCACTTCAAAACCGTGCCATTGCCAAGTTACTCCAACGTTAAGCCAGACTTACTACTGGGACTTGACAACTCGTTCCTCGGTGTCGCGCGTAAATCGTGGACGACGGACACAACCAACCGATTGCCGCCGAAACAAAGTTGGGATGGGTTGCATACGGACCACTGCAGGATTCACAGGCCAGTACGTCTCGAGTGATGCTAATTAGAGAATCCACACACATGAAGCAGCTACACCAGTTGGTGCAAGATTACATCGCAAACGATACGTTAGTAGTTAGAGCACCAGTTAACGCCACACTGGAATCCGACGACGACAGCCGAGCCAAAAGAATCTTAGCAGAAACCACAAAGTACGATGGATGCCGTTACGAAGTAGGTCTCTTGAGGCGGAAAGACGACATCAAGCTACCAGATAGTTACGACATGGCACAAAAGCGTCTGTTCAATATCGAGTCGCGCATGCGAAGAGACATGCAATTCGCCAGAAGCTACAAAAGGGAAATTGGGAAGTATATTAGCAAAGGTTACGCGAGGCAGCTCTCGGTGGAAGAAGCCAGCATAACCAAACCCACGACGTGGTATTTGCCCCATTTTGGTGTGGTGAACGCCCACAAGCCAGAAAAGCTGCGCATCGTATTCGATGCAGCTGCAACAACATCAAACGTGTCACTCAACAGCGTACTACTCAAAGGGCCAGAAAAGGTTCTGTCGCTCATCTCTATACTTTTCAAATTTCGCCAAGGAGTCGTTGCGGTTGCGGGCGACATTGAGGAAATGTTTTCGCAAGTGCGGATCAGAGTCGAAGACCAAGACTCACAACGTTTTTTGTGGAGAGATGGTGACTCCAGCCAATCAATACGCGTTTATGTTATGACGTCAATGATATTCGGCGCTGCCTGTTCTCCGTGTTGCGCAGAATATGTAAAAAACACAAACGCCAGCAAGTTTAGTTCCCAGCGACCAAAAGGTGTCGATGCCGTTATCAACAAAACATACGTCGATGACCTCGTGATCAGTCTCCAAGACGTCAAAGAGGCCGAAAAAACTATTCGGGAGGCAATTGAAATTAATGCCAAAGCTGGTTTCCTACTACGAAAGTACTTGGCATGTTCTGGAACACTTCCTCAGATGCTTTCGAGTTTCACTTCAAATTTCTTAAAATACCTGCAGACATTCTGCGGTGTGAACGGCCTCCAACGAAGAGAGAGTTACTAGGTATCGTAATGTCAATTTACGATCCATTCGGTTTTTTGGCAAACATCACAATTGTTGCGAAATTGTTGATTCAGTCGGCGTGGAAGCAGAACATTATGTGGGATGAACAACTGCCGCATCCGCTAGCCAAGCAATGGAAGGCTTGGTGGACAAAATTTCAATATGTGAACTCATTAACTGTACCTCGTTGTTATTCAAGCATGATATCAAGCGCCGAGAACGTCCAGCTGCACATCTTCGTCGATGCTAGTACAGACGCATACGCCGCCGTCGCCTATTTGCGAGTCAGTCAGGGGGATATGGTAGAAGTAGCACAGGTATGTGCGAAATCTACATGCGCGCTGCTCAAACCGATGACCGTCCCACGTCTGGAACTGCAGGCAGCAGTCCTTGGATGCCGCCTTAAAACTCTGATAGAGCAAAACCACGAGATTCGCATTGACAGTACAACCTTTTGGAGCGATTCGCAGACCGTAATCCTCTGGATACGTTCACACTCCCGAGCGTATAAGCCATTTGTGGCGCATAGGATTGTAGAAATCCTGTCGGCAACGACGGCGGAACAGTGGCGTTGGATACCCACAGCGTTGAACGTGGCAGATGATGCCACACGTGCCGTACCGATTCCTGAGCCTTCAATAAACACCCGTTGGCTACGTGAACCAGAGTTTTTGTATCAGCAAGAGGGACAATGGCCGCGAGAAACCATGTTGTCATCCGTCGAATGTGCCAACGAGGAGCTAACTGGTCGAAAGCTTCTTCTCTGTACCACAGGTGAGCCGTTAATCAACCTTACTAATTTTTCTTCCTTTCTGACGCTAGTAAGAGTCGTGGCCTGGGTATTGCGTTTTGTCAGCAATGCAAGAAAGGAAGTACGCAAAGAAGAACTGCAAGCCGATGAACTGACTGCCGCTGAAAAGCAAATATGCCGCATAGTACAAAAACAAGCCTACAAAAACGAAATCGATCTGCTGAGAAAAAAGATTGCCCGGCCAAGGAATAGCAGCCTACATCCGCTAACGCCATACTTAGATGAAGAAGGTCTACTCCGAGTCTACGGAAGAATAGACGCAGCATACTGTCTACCATTTTCCGCACGCCGCCCGATTATTTTGCAGACAGACAATTATGTCACAAAATTAATTGTAGCTGAACACCACCGAAAACGACACCACCTAAACGAATGTTTGACAATAAACGGAATTCGACAACGATATTGGATCCCCGCCATTCGCAGAGTTGTGAAGTCGGTCAAGAAACACTGCCCGACTTGTATATACGACAGAGCAAAACCAGCAGCACCATTGATGGGCCAGCTACCCAAAGACCGTCTAACGCCTTACGTCCGACCCTTCACATACAGCGGAGTTGATTACTGCGGTCCGTTCTACGTCACTATCGGGCGCAGAAGAGAAAAACGATGGATTGCATTGTTTACATGCATGACGACTCGAGCAGTGCACCTAGAGTTGGCTGAAAGTCTTTCCACAGATGCGTTCATCATATGCCTTCGAAATTTCGTTAATCGTCGAGGGGTGCCCATACGCATTCGAAGCGACAATGGCACTAACTTTGTTGGAGCACAGAGGGAGATGAAGTAGTCGGAGAGGATGTTCGATTTCCAAGCAATCGGTCGGGAGATGTCTAAGAATAAAATTGAATGGGTGTTCCACTGTCCCGCAGATCCCAGAAGTGGGGGCTGCTGGGAACGACTAATCCAGTGCACCAAACGACTCCTACAAAAGGTTTTTAAAGAAGAAGCACCAAGAATGGAGACATTCCGCAGTGTGATGATTGAAATAGAGAACATCATCAACAGTCGTCCATTAACTGACTTACCAGTATCGCCGGAAGAGGAAGAACCCCTCACACCAAACCATTTTTTACTAGGTTGCTTAAATTCCACGCAAACTCCGCATCCGGATGAGGAGCAGCTTTGCGTTCGGAAGCAGTGGAAGATCGCTCAAAATCTCAAGGACAGAGCCTGGAAAAGGTGGACACGGGAGTATCTACCACGCCTTCTTTGTCGCTCCAAATGGAGAGACGAGGTCGAATCAATAGAGCCGGGGACACTAGTGGTGATTTGCGATCCTTCAGCTCCGAGAAGCCATTGGGAAAAGGGCAGAATCGCGGAAATATTTCAAGGGAGAGACGGCAGAGTCAGAAGTGCCAATGTCATCACAGCGCGCGGGATTATCCGTCGGCCCATACGACAGCTAGCCGCTTTAAGAATTTGCGAATCCCCGGAAGATCCGCCAGGAGATGGAATGTGAACGACTACTAAAACGAACTTAACATGTGGCAGCACTACATTT